ATGTCTAAACATAATTTCAAAAAGATAAAAGAAATAAGCCCTGAAAAACCCATACAGTTCTTATAAACAGTCCTTACCCCTCCTGCCATTGTAAACACATGTAAATGAGCCAGGAGATCCTTATCAACTATCTGGACATATCCGCATTTGCATTTATTGACCCCCCTGGAATGCCACACTTAGTTCAGCCATGGGGAAATACACATAAACATTGGGAGTCTATAAAGTGCATAAGCAATATTAAGACTGTAAAAATTTTTTCTACTTACAGCTTCTTCCTCTATTACATCAGACTGTATATTGGCTATGCATCCTTCTACCATGAAGAATATGGCCTTTGTACTAATTCCTGAATTCGAATATTAGTTTTACCACTTATAGGCTGAGTCTCCTCCACCATCTGCCTTTTTGAAATGGAATTGCAGAATCTACCTTTCAAGGTTGTTGTGAGGGTCCCATGCCAGTATCCCAACCAAGCACTGTATCTTGGTGCTTAATGAATGCTTTTGTTTTTATTGTAGTGATAGCTTAGATATAATTTTTTTATGCTGCACAGTAAAATTTATTTTCACTTTTAACTGAAGAATATTAAAATAAAATCCATTCATTTATCTAACAAATTTATAACCCCCAAGATTTCAGTATGTCTATTGAATAATAATCAAAATAAGAAAAAAAGTTGTAACCCATTCATCCCAATGGTTCCATCTAGTCCACCCAATGATTATAGCAAATGTGAACTAAATATAGATATAGTACAAACAAAAAACCCAAACAAAAGAAAAAAGAAACAACAGCAACAAAAAATATAGACATATTTGCAACTAGACTGGAAGACAACATCGACCATATCTGAACATGGACCTGCCAGCTTTGTAAATGTTAATGAATAATAGTCTGGATTATGTAGTCACCGTTACTGGAATAACATTCGTTTGCTGTTAGTATGCCTATGTTAAAACAAATTAGCTAGATGATGAGTGAATTTCAAAATCACCATGTGGATTCTCTGTGCTGAAGTCTTACCCAGCATGAAATCCACTGGCCTCCAAATTAGTGAGAGAATTTCTGGATTGGAATAATGCTCCTATGGACTTCGGAAGCACGTGGAAAAATGTTTCCAATCACGTAATTGCATTTGATTTGCAGGGTAGAGTATGCTCCTTTCTCCATAACCGATGGAAGACAGAGGTGAGGGTTTTTGCTGTTGTTCAGTGTTGGAGGCTGGGAAGTCCACAGTCCAGAGGGTACATCTGGTGAGGGCCTTCTTCTTGGTGGTGGCTCTCTACAGAGACGTGGGGTGTCACATAGTGAAAATGGCAAGAGGTCTAGATATAATGTTTAATATGGAAGCTTCCAGGTATTCACAAAACTAGAGAGAATAGCTTACTGGATCTCAAAGTACCCAGCTTCAGCAATTACCCACTCTTCTTTCATCTCTACCATACCCGCTCCCCACTGTCAGATTATTTTGAAACAAATCACAGATATCATGTCATTCATCCAAAAATATTACAATATGTATCTCTAAAGGATAAGGACTCATTTTAATAAATAACCAGAACATCATTATCAGAGATAATAATTCCTAAATATTATCAAATATCCAGTCAGTATTCAAATTTCTCCTATTGTCACATAGAGTTGTTGTTGTTGGTTTTTGGGGTTTTTTTTGGCAGTTGGCAGGTACAGGGATTGAACCCCGGACCTTGGTGATATCAGCACCATGCTCTAACCAACTGAGCTAACCAGCCAGCCCCTGGAGTTTTTTTTTTTAATAACTTGTTTAAATCAGTATCTAAATAAGGTCCACACCATTTAATATTTTATTGAAAATATAATTAAGGGCCGGCCCGGTGGCGCACTGGATAAGTGCGCCGCTTGGGAAGCGCGGTGGCGCT